CCAATTCCTGCACCTTCACACCTCAGATCAGCCCCAATTCCTGCACCTTCACCCCTCAGATCAGTCCAATTCCTGCACCTTCACCCCTCAGATCACTCCAATTCCTGCACCTTCACACCTCAGATGAGCCCAATTCTTGCACCTTCACCCCTCAGATCAGCCCCAATTCCTGCATCTTCACCCCTCAGATCAGCCCCAATTTCTGCATCTTCACACCTCAGATCACTCCAATTCCGGCACCTTCACATCTCAGATCACCCCAATTCCTGCACCTTCGCCCCTCAGATCAGCCCCAATTCCTGCACCTTCGTCCCTCAGATCAGCCCCAATTCCTGCACCTTCACCCCTCAGATCAGCCCCAATTCCCGCCCCTTCGCCCCTCAGATCAGCCCCAATTCCTACACCTTTGTCCCTCAGATCAGCCCCAATTCCTGCACCTTCGTCCCTCAGATCACCCCCAATTCCTGCACCTTCACCCCTCAGATCAGCCCCAATTCCTGCACCTTCGTCCCTCAGATCAGCCCCAACTCCTGATGACATTATCGAATGTTCTGACAAGATCTTTCGTATAAACAGTCATGTAACAATTTTCATTCCCAATACCACAGAAAACCATATACAGATATTAATACTAAAGCTGAATCTCCTAGACCCAAATGGCATTCAGGAGTCCGAATTCCCGAATTGCATTGGGGAGCTACTGAATGCCATTCGAGCCGAGGATCCTCTGCTTTAGTAATATATGTACATGGCTCCCAGACCCAAATGGCATTGCGGCCGGCTCACTTTGTTGTGGGGCGGGTGGGCACGTGGCGGTCCATTGAAATGAATTGTGTCCTCAATCTCTTTTTGTATTTTAAAAGGGAAATGTCAGGGGTCTGTTTAGACCCCCAATATTTCCCCGAAGCCCCCCCGACAGTGGAGAAAATAAAAAATAAATGTAAAAAAAACACCCCCACACAAACACATTACTAGACGTGTGCAAAAAGTAAAAATTTGTCTCGGACGAAATTAATGGAAACTAAAAATGTTTTCATTCGTTTCGTCAAACGAAACAAATTTTTATGCTATTTTGGATTTGGCCACCAGCGCATTCTGCGCACGCGCTCCGTCATCCTGGAGGCGGAGCGCATGACGTCACATACCGCACATGTCTGTTGGGGGGCACAATTTTCTGTTCTTGCCTCGGGCGCAAAAGAAGCTAGTTATGGTTCTGTGACTGGCACAGTAGCCACGTCCTCCGGCCGGTAATTATTAGGTTTGAGTGTATATCTCTTCACTTCAGGCCGCCACCAACAGAATGATAACTTTGTCTTGGTTAATGGCAGTTAGCAACTGCGGTGTTGGTAGAAATGGGTGTAGTATATTATAAAGGCAGAAAGAATGAAGTGATTTTTCTTAATCATTTATTGGGCTGTTTGCTTTCTTTTTTAATATTTGCATTTTGTGTTTGCTGTATTATAATTGTGAAAGTAGATAGCAGCGCTTGTTTATATAATGTGTCATGGAATTAAGTATGGTACATGACAGCAATAGGTTGGACTTGATGGACTTATGTCTTTATTCAACCTCAAATACTATGTAACTATGTAACAGTATCACAATAATCCTCTGAAAGTGTTTCCTTGACTGCCAACAATGGGACACGTTTTAACATGTGTAAGAAATAGGTTGGCTAAATCATGTACTGGCTGCTTATCAAATCTCCACGCCACCATCCCCACACCCATTGGATGTCACTCTTACCACTACATATTCTGTAGTATAAAGTCCAGCAAAGTTCCTTACCTGAGTAATGGTAGGAATAATTGTCTATGACGTTTCTCATTTATCAAGGTCATGGAATATCTCGTAGTAGTTAATAGTCACATTCAACTTGATTAGTTCTATAATGTTGAAGACATTTTGCTGCCTATCTAAGTAACTTTCTCAGCTAAAGCTGACCATACACGGCTTGAATTTCAACCCATTCCTACTGAATTGGTCAAAATGTGAGCAGTGGGTTGCCCCTGCAAGCACCACCTGGCTTAAAAAAAGTCAATTTAACCTTAACGGAGCCAGGTGGGACATTACCAGGTTGAACAGTGACTGCATCCTATCCGATACAGTCACTGTTGGGGTATTCAAGTATCCAGGAATACTGCGGGTGCCTGAATACAATCAGGAGAGATTCCTCCATCCACGCTCTTTAGCATGGATGCCGGAACTGACTGATTTTCTCATATTCAGCCTGCAGGATGTACAAGAAAAGACAAGTTGTGTAGGGATAACCTAAGAGCTTTGGAAGCTTGCAGGATAAATACCGAAGCATGTTCCTCTTTCATGGATTCTTTGTTTTCCCAGCGTTGTCATTATGCCTTCTGAGAGGAAAGAGGAGAGAGTCATCGACCTTCCACTTACTCCAATCATATCCAATCCCATGGTCTCCCTGAGGTACTTTTGTGTAGCAGACTATGAGACAGTGGACCTGAAGAACAGACCTTTCAAGGTGAAGAAAAATGAGCTGCTGGATGTGCTGCTGAAGGAAGGCTCAGGTATGTCACTCCATGGGGGCACCTCCCTCCCACACCATATACTAGAGGCCTGGGTTATTATGGGCAATAATGCTGTGGGGTGGGGCTGCTGTCAGGTATTACCTGCAGGCACATCCTTTTGGCCCATCAATATATTGGGCCGCCTCACTGGTCAGTAAGCAAGAACTGCAGAAGTTTTGCACTTAACAATGGCTTCCAGTAGTCCATATCTCTCTCCTACATGACAGGGTGTCCTTAGGGTTAGTGGCCATAACCAGGCAAATGACAATTGTATGGCCCTGTTAGTTCTCAGTGCTGTCTCAACAAGTGCAGTCACCCGTGGACTGCCGCATGCCCCAGTGCTGTTTCTTTGGGACAAAAAGTACTTATTTTTATGTTAAAGGATATGTATTGTGATGATGGCAGTCATCAGTATAATCTGCCAGGGACTCACAGGAATTTTTTCTCAGTCCATCAATCCACTGTTGGACTGTGATGAGTAGATGGCTTACCACATCCATATAAGAGTATGCAGGTCCTTTCTGTAGCAATCTGAATTTCTTGATGTGTCCTTCTGGTGTCAGGTGATACCTGCCTCTCAGCCCTTGGGCACACGGTGTCTGTGGCAAGTGTTACTGATGACACATTTTTTCAAAGGATAGCAAATAGGTATCAGTGTCAATGCCCTTTTTTATGACTGCAAATTGGGCTGCATGGCTCACAGCCAACAGTACTTCTTTGTATTCAAGAGGAACAAGAGCCTGATCCTGCTGCTGTGTTGGAGCTTAGCCATCTCCAGTTCATGCTGATGGACAGTTTTCCTCTGCGCAGCCACTGTTTCAGCTTGACTTTCTGCAGCCTCTCAGCTACAGCCCAGCTTTCTACAGCCTTAGTACTGCATTCTGTAGCCTCTCTCTCAGCCTGCTGCTTGATAAATTTAGGAGATGTTATGTATCTCATCCATCTCGTGGTGTAGCATAAGCATGTTTGGTACTGAACAGATTGTTATTCTCCTATACATTTGTCTAAACATTTGTTATTTATATAGCTCAGTCATAGCACTAATTATAGAAATTGTAAGAAACGTAACCCTGTGCGGTTCAAAAAGCAGACTGATATTATTATATTATGCAATCACACACCAGACAGGCTGCAACAACCTGATTCCATTAGACAACTTTGGCCTAGTGGAGGTTTACAAAGGCTCTTAACAGGCCCTAGCTTAAGGGTCCCTGCTAACGGGGTTTAATGACACTGGGCTTATGTCCTGTCAAAGGTGCTGCAAACTGGAATGTGTTATTCTGCCAAATGTTTTTTATGTCCCATGAATGCCTAGCATAGACAATAGATTTAAATCTGACCATTTTTGTCACTGGCCTACACATTTTGGAGACATGAGGGTGGCACTGTGCTCAGTATATGTCCCTTTTCTCCTCACTCCCTTCCAGGGCAAACAGACTGTTATTTACCCCTGTACTGGTGATCACCAGGACATATAGAGGGGGGCACAGACAGCAATAGAAACCTAACAGGAGTTCTAATCCCCCAGTACTCTATCCAAAACTAAGCTGTTGTTCTTTGTAATGCAGGCTGGTGGCTGGTGGAGAACGAAGATCAGCAAATTGCTTGGTTCCCAGCACCTTATCTCCAGGAAGACATGAACCATGCAGATGGTGAAAACACCAAGGAACACCAAGAGGAAGGTGAATATAGACTTATTCTTGACTCTTGACTCAGAAACCAACCTCACCACAGTTTACAAAACAGACTTTCTGTAAGAAAAGTTCTAAAATTAAATGGTATTGTTACCTACAGCAAAGCCGACCATACATATATAGAGTGAAAAACAGGCCTTTTGGATCTAGGGCAGCGTTGTGGATGTGGTTTACTTGTTTCCTAGACTGTGCTGTTTTATAAGATAAGGTGGTGGTAGTGGTAGGCCTGTGCAGCAGTATGCAGAGGATTTGGCACTGGCCACATTCTTTGCCCCACCTGGGGTATATTTTAAGTCTTCTCTGGGATCAGCAGGGGTGAGAGAATGCATGTCGGCTTCCCTGGAACAGCCTACAGGTCTAAACTGACTCAAAATGTCTCATGTTTTGTCGGGTACTGGATTGTGTGCCACAGACCCTTACAAGGGAAAATCTTTTGCTTTGTGTTTGCTGCAATGGTGATGAATAAACACTGGCAGGAAGGCCTTAAATGCAGTTTGACTCTGGACTACCTCTCTGCAAAACTCTATGTTTGAAGCTGACCCTTTTACTACCCAGGAACCACGGGCAGGAGAACACTGCCCTTTCCTCAGAAGCACCAGAACAACCCACACTTTACAAATCAGTTGAAAGCACTTGTATTGAAGGATCTGCCTAATAGGTTATATAATTTCTGTGTGTAATAACATAAACATCTGATGCTGGAAATGCATTTTTTTTGCCCCTGGAGTGGACCTTCACTAGAGTGGACCAGGATATTTATGGCCCTCCTAGTCAATTGCATGCACCCAAAAACACTTCCCATCTGTTTTCTTTTTGTTATAAGATGATACATTCTGATTGGATTATGTACGTTTTTGCAGCCTGCATATTGCTGTTTGCCTTATTGCGTGAGCCAAAAAGGACCATAATTTCCGATCAGTCAGACCTTGATAGGGTTCACTTTATTATGCAGTGAGCGATTGATGGAAGGAGAGCAGGAAGAAGGAGTATGTCTGTCTATGCATTCATTCGGTGAGGGTCATTTAATGAATTAGTTATTTCCTATTTACAGCCCTGCTCTAGTGTCTACGGATGCCCATATTTTGAAGGCCCACATATTGTCACCTATTTAATTAGTGTGAGAGATATTCCATTATAATGGAGCAACAGTTGCAGTTTTGGCATCTCCAACCCTTCCTCACTCAGACTGTATCTTTCTCTAGGTATCCTTTGCGTGGTGATAAAGGGCTACGAGGCTCAGAACTCTGATGAACTCAATGCCATGATCGGCGTGGTGGTGAAAGTCTTGAGAAAGTCAGACAGCGGATGGTGGCTGGTCAGGTGAGAACTTCTATTACTCCTAAGCTATAAATGCAATCAACTATAAAAACTAAGGACTTCAAATTAAAAATATGGAGACTGCCATTGCAGGGCTCCTTCTAAAAATGATAGTTTCCTGACCACTATACTGATTCAGTGCAGCCCCAGTGGTCTGATTTAATTGTTATATTTTAATGTGCTTGCTTGTTTTAGGCCAATGGATACTATAGCCAAAATCATCCAGGCAGCTAGTACTTGTAGGAAAAAGTCAGCGATAGTGGAACCCATATTTTGCTTAGTACAGATTTACCATAAAATGACTCTACTTCAAGGATACAAATATTTATATTATATATAGGCAGCCTGAAGTCTTCACCCCCCATGGCTGTATCTCGGACATTGTGATCGGCCAAGTACTGATATTTCCTAGTAGTGTAAAAGTTTTCCACTCCCTCTAGCCTTCCTATTTGTCCATCACTATGATAGGCTGCCTCACTGGGCAATAGGAATGTGCATGCTGCCTTTTTGTTAATTTTGCCATGGCACTGTGTGGTGCAGAGACACTGACTGGCTGCTTAGGCAGAGGCTCTGTTTTACAAAGAACCATATCAGTGGACATATAATTTCTTCAGGGATAGGGAAGAGTCAAATTATTTGGCAGACTATTGTTCTGATCTGTGGCTGCACTCAGAAGACTTATTACTGTGCCACCAGGGCAGAAACTGAAGAGAAATCTCTCCAATGGGAACACAACAGGAGGAAACAGACTGAGATTCTAACTTTTCTCCCCATCCTATCCAGAACTAAAAAAAAAATTGCTGGACTTTATAAACATTTTAAACCACTTGAAGTTGTACACATTTTCTTCAATTTATAGACCTGTCTTGATTTTTGCTTGCAAATAACATTTAATGATTTTCCTGCCCTCCCATATCAGTGCTCTATGCTGGCATAACTGAGCAACAGCCGCACCCCTCATCATAAGTGTCCTCACACAGACCTGTTGGCTGAGGAAGAGAGGGGCATGTATGACCAGTTCTGTTTGATTACAGGGTACACTAGGCAGTGTGGTCAAACTGGTGCCTATTGGACTGTGCCATCATATGTAGACACAATGCAAAACGTCTGTAGCAGTACAGTGGAGGAACAGAGGCAGTTAGTACAATATCTGAGTGAATATCTATTTTGGTGACATCTATTAAGCTTTAACAATACTGACCTACAATTTCTGGTTTATTTTGGCTGCAGCTACAACAGAAGGACAGGCTACATCCCATCTCTTTATCTAAAGCCTTACACAAACCCCTGTGAGAAGCTCCAGAATATCCTCAGCAAGGAACACTATATGTCTTCCCCCAACCTGTTTGGAAATGTGTATTCTTTTCCCCACCACCAACCATCACTGAATGATCAGAAGCGGAATGGGAGCACGTTGGCGGAGAGATTGAGGAGCCAGTCGCTGGGATCTGAGGCCAGATCAGATGCAGATTCCGATATAGACAGTATGACAGGGAGCAGTGGTAGACTGAATTCTTCAAACAGCAACAGCTCGTCTCTGAATACCTCCAACTTATCACTACCAGAGTCAACATCCTCATCTGTTCTGCCCAAAGTTCCTCCTAGACCCAACCCAGATCAAGTCATACAAAAGTGCAGCACCGTCACCAAGAAGAAGCTGCAGAGGTCAGTAGGAAGTCTGGAAAATTCGGACACCTCTGGGACCAAACTCTAATCCACATCCTTTAAAGGGGTTTTCCAGTTTGTAGCAAAAGTGTCTAATTTCAGCTAAAATCTCACTAAAGGTGAATATAAAGGGCTACGCATACTGCGCAAACCAGTAGCTGTCTCTTTTTCTTATGCCACATATTTTGTTCGAAAAAGACAAGAGCAGGTAAAGCTGCGCTCAGTATTGCATTGGGCAGATGGTATAACCCCAGTGTAGCCCTTCCTGCCCTGTGGACTATCCCCCACACTAAGTGCCAGTCTTTCTTTATTACCTCTAGAAGGTAGAGGTCAAGGATGTTCCAGATCCATTTTCTCCAAACTGACTGTGGCTCTGACACTCTATTGGGTCTTGTGTCCTCTTATTCCTTTTGGCCCATCTTGCCGCTTCCATGGCTGTATTGCTATGTGATGATTTCAGCCAACGTTAATCCTTAGTATTCGAATATATGCTGGGAAGCTGGCAGATTTTATCCTTGGCTTGGCCCATTATACCATACAGCGACCCTGACCTTAGGCAGCAGAAAACACTATGTAATTAGCATAACATAAAAATTAAACAAATTGTAAAAACTTGGAAAACCCCTCCAAGGATTGTTGGAGATTGTTGGTTGCCGTGTGTTTACTCACAGAGTAGTAATCAGCAGGATGTGAGAGAGCAGCGACAGCAGCAACAGTCTCCATTAATTTCTGAGTATTCACAATAAGTTGGCAAAGTTTGCCTGTAAAGTGTGCCATTGGGGCACAGGAGTTCCTAGCGGTAAGGCTATATCTGTAGTAGAATTTTTTCTACCTATGTTAGATGCAGCAAATAGTGGTTTATTGTATGCATCAATATTGTATATGTGTAGGCTGTTTTGTATAACCTTTAGAGGTCAGTTTGACTCAAAAAGTGATGTTTTTGATTTAGGTGGGACGGTTGTGCCATCCCCTATCAGTGACATACTGGGTCTCATATAGACTCTGTGTCTATACATCCGACAAGGCTAGAAGCAAGGCATTCATTTATCATCTTAAAGGCTCGGTCATTGTATATGCCGAAAAGGGGGGAATTTTATATGACAAATAAGGGGAAGCCATCTTTACCAACGCTGCAAATCTGAAATACCAGTTGCGGGTGTAAGTGACTTTAAAGACAAGGGCAATGTGCAATACTCATAGCAACCATTCAGAAATTGACTTTGATCCTTCCAACTCCATTGAGCTCTGGCAATCAGTTGGGTTGTTAGTCCTGTAATCCGCAGGAACCAATTATAAATAATTTTTAAGGATCTGAGTACTCTGCTGGAATCTGATTGGTTGTTATGGAAAAATGCCCAATATTATTCTTTACATTGTTAAATAAAGGCCTTTTATGTGGATTTGTTACATTTCATAGTAGATTGACCCCGGTTGTTTCAGAATGTCTTTAATCACCCTGATTTTTTCTAAAAAATATTTGGTAAGTCTTCCCCAATTTTAAAACAATCTGAAGACTTCAAGTAAAACTTCAAGTTTGATTATTAAGATTGTTTTTACTAGAAGTTGGATCAATGAAATAAAAATAAAGTGAATCTATATATTATATTTTGTGATAGATCACTGGGGTCACCTTTGCATTGCAGTACAGAAGGGAGAGAGATAGGTGTGTATCTGTAATGCAGGTTAGATTGGGTGAAAGTTTGGTGTCACTGACATGGATGTCCTAAATGACAGGGATGTCTGGGGTGCAGGAAGGATGTCTCCTCCTGATTTATTAACACTTGAACGGGAGCGTCCATTCCAATTTCATTAGATTTCATTTTCCGGTGGACATCCCATCATTTCATTAGAATAGGCAAGTAGGGATTTTAGAATTGAACAAAGTATGAGGTTTTAATGTCATTTCAATGTTGGATTTTTTTTTTTTAAATTAATGTCATTGTTTTAGGATAATAAATTACTAATTATATAATAATAACTAATGTATCAATACATTTTGTTTCATACAACTTGTCCTATTTTTAAGCCAATAAAAACATATTTCAAATAAAAATGTTTACAGTTTTATTATGCTCTAAATCAGTGGTTCTCAACCTGTGTAACCTCAGGACCTACATTTGTCCTCTGTCATTAAGTCGCGACCCAAGTCGCACTGCAGTGGAACGCAGGGCAGTCTGGGCTGTTCTGCTGTGATGGAGCTCCATCCATATATGCATTGCTTGTAGAGCTCCCATGCGCACCTTTAGAGGTGCCGGAAACCAGAATGTGATGTCACTCCGGTCCAGGCACCTCTAAAGGACATGTGAGGGAGCTATAAGCAATGTACATATGGATGGATCTCCCTCGTGGCCATACCCCCCAGCCCACCCTACCTCAAGTTGACACTTGGCACCGGGCAGCATATTTTGAATGGCTGCTTGGTGTGAGAATGGACGGTGCTGCACTAAGTGGAGGTTAAGGAGCCTCTCACCTAAAAAAGTGGAAGGCATGCTGCGACCCACTAAACATGGGGTCGCGACCCACTTTTGGGCCACAACCCACCAGTTGAGAACCAAGGCTCTAAATGGATGAAGGTGTTTATCCCTAATCTTCTCTAAACCACGCTAACCCTAACTCTAACCCTTGCTAACCCTAGCCCCTAACCCACGCTAGCCCTAAACCCTAACTCTAACCCTCGCTAACCCATGCTTACCCTAACCCCTAACTCTAAGTCTCGCTAACCCATGCTAACTCTAACCCTAGCCCCTAAACCATGCTAACGCTAACCCTTGCTAACCTTAGCCCCTAACCCATGCTAACCCTAACCCCTGCTAACCCTAACCCCTAACTCTAACCCTCGCTAACCCCTAACCCATGCTAACCCTAAACCCAACCCTCGCTAACCCTAACCCAGGCTAACCCTAGCCCCAAACCCTTGCTAATTCTAACCCACTCTAGCCGTAACTCACGCTAACCCTAATCCAGGCTAACCCTAACCCACGCTAACCCTCCCTAAACCTAACCCTTGCTCTTACCCCTAACCTTAACTCCAGGTTAGATCTGACGTAGGTTAGATACTTACGTAGCTGGCAGATCCATAACTACTTCTGTGACATCCCCATGTGCTCAGGAAGCAATCTATTTAAAGGCTAAGTTCACCTTTCATAGCATGTTCCATGGTTTACCTGTATTTAGGGTGTAACATGGAAGATGTTGCTATTCTGCTACTTATCATGTTAAAACCAACCCTCCTCTCCCACCCCACTTACCTGAATCGCGGGGTGTTTCTCCCTGCAGGCTTCTATATATTTTTTATTTCATCATTTATTTACATGCATTCACAGGATCTGTCAAAAAAAAATGTGTGGATTCACTACTTTTTTCACCACAATGTATATCATTGTAGTACTGTGTGTCATGTTGCAACGTATGGCTGCTTGGAGTTGCGTTGGGTGCCATTCAAAAAAATGACAACACAATGCACCTAGCGAATGGTAACGCATGCTAGGTGCGCTATACAATATCGTGCATTAATCGCTTGGAATCATGCATTTAACATAATGCTATGGTGTGAATGGGCTCTTAGATGTATCTGTGTAGCTGGAGCCTTTGGAGCTTGTCTCTACCATTTCAAAGTGACAGGAAACTCTGGCTGTCCCCATAGAAAGACTAGGGACAGATTGAGCTTCCTCTCATTAACGTACAATGCTTTTAGATCTTTAACCATATGTTAGAACAGACAGTGCTCACATCTAGTTTACAGGTCATGAGATCTGCCAGCACAGTGCAGACAAGGTTAATTAATTTAAACATTATTGTGCAACTGAAGTGTCAGAACGGCTGCGGCGACTTGCTAATCGGAGTGGGGTCTTCGGTTGGCGGAGGAGGAGGAGGAGGAGGAGGAAGGAGAGCGCTTACTTTGGGCTGATAAAACACTCTTGTGAAACAATCGTCACACTGTGTAATACCACTGCCTGCCATTGGAGGGCGCCTCACCCAAAGTTAGCTTGCAGAACTCACAGATACAAAGCAAAATTTTCACTGAGCCGAGGTCTGAATCATGGTCTGGACAGAACAGCAAGTCTGTTTCTGGACCGCGATCTGCCATTTAGGCTGCACGTTGCAGTGCAGCTGCTGGTGTGTTTTCCCAGACACAGTACTGATGCATAGATCCGGGTGTGCCCTCTTACATTGTTTGTCCCCATCAGAGTGCTCCTTTACATTGTTTGTCCCCATCAGAGTGCCCCCCATATTTTTTTGTCCCCATCAGAGTGCCCCCTTGCATTGCTTGTCCCCATCAGACTGCCCCCTTGCATTGCTTGTCCCCATCAGAGTGCCCCCTTGCATTGCTTGTCCCCATAAGAGTGCCCCCTACTAGCTGTCCCCATTGGAGTGCCCCCTTACACTTGCTGTCCCCATCAGAGTGCTCCCTTACACTGGCTGTCTCCATCGGAGTGCCCCCTTACCCTGGCTGTCTAGATCAGAGTGCCCCATTAGGGCCTGTTCACATGATTTTCTGGTCCTGATCAGGTCCGGATCAGGTGCGGATCTGCAGACGCGGTGCTATGTGTTTTGCTGCGTTTGTGCCGCGTTTTTGTCGCGTTTTTTGATGCGTTCCAGTTAAAAAAAATATATATTTTATTTTTTTTGCTGGAGTGGGGCTGTCATTATGTTAGCTGCAGTGCAGTGCGTTTTTGACGCGTTTTGACGCATTTTGCATTTCCGGACCGTTTCCTGAGCGGACAAAATGTGACATGCAGTATTTTTCTGTCTGAACGGACTGCGCACGTGAGAACTGTAGCCCATAAAACACATAGGGATACATTGGGATGCATTTTGAGTGCAGGAGCGTACGGATCAGGTCAGCACAGAAAACGGACGTCGTGTGAACAGGCCCTTACACTAGCTGTCCCCGTCAGAGTGCCTCCTTACACTAGCTGTCCCCATCAGAGTGCCTCCTTACACTAGCTGTCCCCATCAGAGTGCCTCCTTACACTAGCTGTCCCCATCAGAGTGCCTCCTTACACTAGCTGTCCCCATCAGAGTGCCTCCTTACACTAGCTGTCCCCA